CTTTTCGAAAGAGGCACAACCGCGCCTCTCGCGAAAGCACAACCGCGCCTCTCGCGGAAGCAAAACCGTGCCTCTCGCGGAAGAAAAAAAACCAGAAAACGTGTTTTTTTTCCGTTTCCGAGGAGGCACGGCCGTGACTCTCGCGAAAGCACAACCGTACCTCTCGCGGAAACAAAATCGTGCCTCTCGCAAAAGAAAAAGAAACAGAAAACATATTTTTTTCCGTTTCCAAGAGGCACAGCCGTGCCTCTCGCGAAAGCACAACTATGCCTCTCGCGAAAACAAACCGTGACTCTCACGAAAAAATCCAATTTTTTTGCGCAAAAAAATTATTTTTTTCGATTTTTTTTGTCGAAAAGCTAGGAAAGACCGATGGAAAACCAAAACGTCAAAAAAAAACAAAACAAAAACGTTTAAAAAGCTGAAACCGCGTGCGGAAAAATAAAAAAAAATCTTGAGGGAGCGTCCAGAGCGCGACACGTGGCGAATAGCTGAGAACGCGCCAAGTGGCGCTGATTGTTGCGAGCTCCCGAAGGAGTGCTCGTTAATTAGTTGCTCCCGTCGTATAGGACCTCTGCTCGTAAAGAAAATAAAACCGTGTTCCTGCGCGCTGGGCCTGGCCCATTACGGGGAATCGTCGCGCCCGTTTCAGTTTGGCAAAAGAAAAAGTGTGAGAAGGCCCAGTGTGGTCTTCCCCTTCGTTTCCGGCCCGCTGGTCCGCCGAGTTCGGCCATGGTATCCATCTCTCCCCCCCGGCCCCCGTACCTTGCGTTCCCCCACCACCCCCACCGTCTGCTCCGCCACCTTATCCAAGGAGGCGGCCTCCTCCGACGCCGCTCCCCGTCCGCCGGACGCACTGCTCACCTCGTCGGTAAGGTCCTCGCCTCGCCTCCCTCCCCCACCGTTTCGCCGTTTCCCGTGCGACGCCGTCATCAAACGCCGAGATGCACGAAATCAGAGGAAGACCGTTGACGGCAACAATTTCTAACCCTAGCCGTTGTCTTCTCAAGTTTCCGCCGCCGCCGCCTATCTTCCTGCCGCCCCCGTGTTTGCCTCCATGGCACCACCCTATTGACGTCTTCGACGAGGACGTCCGCCACTGGGCCGCCGGTTGCCCTTGCTGTCGCAGTCCCTTCCTACGAGGCAAGGCCGCGGGACGCTACTGCCCCTGCCCCTGTATTGCCTCGATTTCCTTCACCCAGGCCGGCGACGCCACCGAGGATCTCGTCCTCCCTCACTGAATGGATGCTATGGTCCGATTTCGCTGCAGATTGGCTTGACTGTAGAATTTTAATAGTTGAATCCACTTTGCTTTAATTCCATTGCCAAAAATTATGTTGCCATCTGCTACGGTGCTCTGTCAAGCTCAACTTTGGCCAAGTCCATATCTGGCCTGTCCCGAGGCTCGCACCAAGCCCCCACCCCGGCTCGCTTGGGTTCTGCTCGTTGACAGGCCTGCTGCTTGCTGTGTGGCAGCTGCGCCGTCCAGTTATCGCGGGTCCAATGCTTTAGGTTAGCTGCGGTATTGCTGTTGCTTTAAGTGCAGTCAGCTGCTTTGTCTAGGAGAGTAAATGATTTGTGTGCCACACGAATCGTGGAGATGTACTTTCTTAGTCTCTCTATGTTGATTTCACAAACTTGCAGAACTGTTTATGCAGAAAATTCTAGTGGGACGGTGTGCCTTGTGTTCTTATGTTTTAGGTTTGTCGGAATCCTTGATTCGTTAGCTTCGATGGTTCGTTTACCGCTGCTTGCTTGATGTTTTATTGCCTACTTATTCCACTGTTTGCATATTCTGGTGCTTAAAATGTATAACAACTGAGCATCAATTTTGGGTGGTAACCTCTGTAGAACAGAAGTATTTCGTGTTTACTTAATGCCAATTCGGGGTTGGTTTCATGTTTACTTAATGTTAATTTATTGTCTATACAGGACAAAGTAGTTTAGTTCAAGTATAGAGATTATGCTTACGAAGAACATCACAAAGGATACCCTAGAGATGATTCAAATTTAACTGAAGTGACACATGTAGCATATTGGATATAGCGGGAGTGCGGGACTACAAAATAGCAGAATTATAGTGATCAGTATAGTGGCTTTAATGGTTGCAGCTGTGATCATGGATTTTAATTCAATCACATAGCGTTTATGTCCGAAAAAATAACTGGCCGTTTAAATCACTGCTTGTGGCGTTGATTTGTTTCGGAGCAAGCATCAAAGTGCTGACTCATATTGTTATTGTACTTCTCCTTCTCCTGTTTTCTTTACTAATTTTGTATGTCCTGTTATTTGTTTTGCCTAGGAGGGTGAAATATCCTTGGTTCAGGTTGTTCAGCTATATCTTGAGATGTTGGCGCATGGTCTAGCAAGCAATCCCTTGAGGGCTACTCGATCTCCACTTACTCCGAGGGCGTCAAGTGCACCCCTGGGACTCGTCTCTTCATTGGGATTCAACAGGGGGCGTAAGGAAAATGTAAAACTTTTTGTCAATGTTGATAGGTATAATACTTATACTTCTTCTGACCTCACCATCAAAGAATTAATCTAGTTTACAATGTGACAAGAAGCCTTACTACAGCCCTTCAATGCAGATACACAAAATATAATGCTCCTTCCATTACACAGCGATGTTCCAGAATATCACCATTTGCATCTGCATCCTTTGGTGACATGGCGGACTCTTCAAATCGTAAGTTTATAGCTGCGTATGTATATGACAACAAAAACATCACATGATAGTGTCTTTAGATGTTATTAGTTATTTCTCGTTGTATTCAATTATAGTAATACTGAAGTAGAACTAATAAGGAACAACTGACTCGTGTGCATCTCAGATTACCACTTTGCTTTTCATGCATGATTGATCTTAGACGGTATTATGGTAACATGTAGGCATCAAATGACATTGTTGGCCAGGGTATCTCTTTGGGACATGTTACACATGTACATCATCACATGCATGCTAAGAGAGATCAGTAGTGCTAAAATCACCCACATCAGTCATTAACTCATTTTCTTTTCTATGCTTATTGTATGAAAAATCAAATCTGCTGATATTTATATTGATTCTGTTGATTGAACTACTCCCTCCGATCCATATTACTTGTCGCTGCTTTAGTACACCTTTATACTGCTTAACCTCTAGAATTCTTTCATGATTAACCTCTAGAATTCTTTTTAACTGCTTTGTTCTTCAGCCATTTTTCCTAGAATCCATGTGAAGGATCCGTATCAACGGCTTGGAATCAGCAAGGAAGCATCTGAAGAAGAAATTCGAGCTGCCAGGAACTTTCTCATAAGCAAGTATGCAGGGCATAAGCCAAGTGTTGATGCAATTGAGTCTGCGCATGACAAAATCATCATGCAGAGTTTCTTTGATAGAAAAAAACCAAAAGTGGATCTCAAGAAAAAATTTAGGGAACTTAGTCAGTCACGTCCAGTCAAGGCTGTTCAGGGCAGATTTTACACGCCATCTAACAAATTTATTTGGAAGACAGCGATTACTTTTGTCTTGCTTGGAGTGCTTACCCTTGTTTTCCCTACTGAAGAAGGTCCAACTCTCCAGGTCTTAATCTCTTGTGCGGCAAATATCTATTTCCTTTATCAGCGGCTTAAAAGTGGATGGAAATCATTCTTTTATGGGTATACTTTCTTCCCCTTCCATTGTTTTGTTTCTACCTTTGGGTTGTTAAGGATATAACTGCTTAGTAGTTGATTAGTTATGTACAGTACTAGTGTTTGCTTTGAGCTATGATGCTCTGAATCAGCATATAGACATTTTGTGCACATTCCAAATCCGAACATGATACTGGAGCCAGATAACCAAATCTCAAAGCTTCATGGTGGCCACTGTTAGTTAATTGCTATCTTCACCGCCAGGACAAATATCTATCTCCTGATAGTGGTGCCAGTAAATAGAGTTCCACAAATTGCTTAGATTGTTATTTTTTTGTTCTTGGTGCTATATGTGATCATTACTTTGATAGACATCGATCAGTGTGATGGATGCAGCATGTGTTTATAGGAGTTATTTGATTAATGCTGGATTGTTTTAAAGCTTATCATTTATAGCCTAGTAATAAAGATTACGAAGCAGAATGCAACAGTGTTGGGCTCCACATTTTATTTCAGTCAGGTAGAGTTTTGTAGTCTCTATTAGATTGTCATTTTCTCTTATTGGTGCTTTGTGATTATTAACACTGTAGGTATAGTCTGCTAAATTTTTTTAATGAGTTTTAAGGTTGAGTACTGGGGGCCATTCGCTAGCTGTTGACCATATGTGCTACAAATACTATATTGCTCTAGAAACATGTTTGCAGATCAGATGTGAACTAGGAGTAGGACTGAACAACACATTTGCATATTAGAAATCCATGGACTAGGAGTAGGCATCCAAAATTCAGAATGCGTTTTTCTGCTGCTAGCCGAGTAGATCGAGTTCAGGTGCTAGTCACAACTAGTCAAGTGAATCATTGATGCTCTTTTGAGATTTACAGAGGACGTAGGGTCTGGTTTCGAGAAATGAATTGGTATGATCAGTTGCTGATGCTAAGTCTGCTCTGTTATTTCAGGTTCGGCTCCTTCTTTGCTTCCTGGTTTCTTGCCACATTCTTGATGGTATCGGTAATTCCGCCTATACTGCCTGGTCCAAGAAACTTGGAAGTGAGCACGGCATGTGTTGCTTACGCATTCCTTTTTGTATCATCAACCTTCCTGAAGTAGCGAATGTTTGTTTTTTCAATTTCCTATGCTAAAGCCCTTAGCCTTGCAGCAGTCGGTATGGTCCTCTCCTGCTTCCAATAGCTTTATCTCAGGGGTGGAAATGACAGTCCTTTGCTGAGTTTCTGTCTAGTATATACATCAGTTTGTAATGTGTGACATAGATCTTTTTTGCCCTGGCCCGCGTGTAGGCATTTTCATTGCTGTATTAAATACAGTTCGTTTTTTGGATAGATCATAAGATACTGACATAAATGGCTATGTGGATCAAAACACTTATTTTCTTTCGGGTCTCAACATCGGTGCTGTACAGTTCAATTCGCAATCCCTTATTATTTATTGCTTTTCAAGTCTCAACCGTCCGGATTGCGTTTGCTAAGATGGCAACTGAAGGAATATCTTAGGTTGTTATGCCTGCTCTGATCTGATCCTGGCAGCTATGAGTTGTTGGGCCTGCTTTGTCGTTTGATAATTGTTGGTGATGCTTTGATTGGCCATCACGGACGAGCTTTGAAGCCCGTGACATAAAGCCAGCGGGAATTCACAGGTCAGTCCATGCTACTAATAGTACCGGTGGGGCTTTACTATTCGCAGACTATTATCAATTGCTTGATCTGGTCTGTGTAAGCATGATGCGTCTCTGGCACACAGTTGCTAATGGGCGATTACACATGGCCCAGGAATAGGGAAGTACGGAGTACTAATATCCTGCGTCAGGTAGGCCTGTAACCCTGTTGCATGTGTAGAATGTCGTGGTGTCTCGTGAGCCGATGATGCTGAATTGCTGATGCCGTAGCCTTTACTAGTAGATTGAACAGATGTTGGTCACATAGGGAGAAGGATATCCTAATTGAACCTTTTGATCTCTCTAGATTAGATGGTAGGGGATAGAGAGTAGCTGCTGGTGCTGCATGATTAGTTTGTCAGCTACTTTTCACCCACTAACTAGGAGAGGGTTAAGGCCTTGTGATCCAGGGCAAACCACCTCCGTACTAGAGAAAGATGCGCGGGGGAAACATATCAGTTAGCCTATTAGAAGCACGGCGTGGGCACGCTCTTGGAGACAGACATGTACTATATGCAGCATAAGCGATAGTTGCTACAAGTTTTACTTTGTTCTCAGAAGCCAATTTATCCATTCACAATATGAAATGTGCCAACTGCAACCTGCCTGATGATGTATCAAAAAACAACATAGTTTTGTTCTAATAAGCTACTCCCTCTGTCCCAAAAATATAAAAACGTTTTTGACACTATGCTAGTGTTGAAAACGTTCTTATATTTTGGGACGGAGGGAGTAGTACGCATTGGTCCACTTCCTTTTCGATGCATGATCATGCTCGGAAACTCTTGCTCTATTTCCTGTAATCAAAAAAATTATATAGGAGTACCTAAATTTTCCTTTATAGAACTTTTCAGGACATGTAAATTCATTTGCTTCTTGGTACAACAAATATCTTTATAATAAGAAAATTGAGCAGTTTAAAAACAGAAAGAAAACCGTGCCGTGGCTCTTCGTTACGAACAAAAGGCGATCTAGGTCTTGCGTGGGCGGCCACTGTCGTCTGCCGCCGTCGTCGTGGGTGATCGTAATTATCTCCAGCCAATTTGCTTTGTCAGATCGGCTGTTTTTCTCTCCGCCCCGTCCATGAACGTAGCTTCATGCGTGGGTGTTTGTTGATCTCTTAGCCGACTCCTTCAGATCCGCTAGTGCTTTTCCAGTCCGTGGACCGTCAGAGTCTCTACACGTTGTTGTGCTGCTCAGCTGGAGTGGCTGCCTTTGGTTGTATGGCAAGTACATGCATGTGCCATTGATCTGGACAGTCTGGACCGAGAATTGGTTTTGGTTTTTTGCTTGTTTCAAGGTGTTCAGTCGCCGAGAGCAATGAAAAATTTCTGTTGGAACTGCTGGGGCCTTCTCGGAACCCCGACAGTTTGATCGCTTCTGGATTTCCAGAGGCGTTTTTACCCAGATGTGATTTTCTTGTTTGAAACACATTCGGATAATGATAAGGCAAATGATCTGATGCTTGATCATAGACTGGTGGCTCCTAGTATAGATGGAAGAAAGGGTGGCCTATTATTAGTCTGGAAGAAGGAGGTAAGGATCTAGGGCCTGTTTGGTTCCTGTCCTGGAGAAAACTGCCTGGGTCGTGTTTGGTTCGTGACCTGAAAAATGTGGCGCTAGCCTGGCCTGGAAAGGTGACAGGGTCATTAGCCTGGGCTGGAAACCCGAGACACCATTAGCCTGGTCCAGGCAACTAGAGAAGGACGCCTGGAACCAGCCTGGCGTTGCTAATCATGCCTGGGAGAAGAAAAAAGCAAGCATTGGCTTGATGTGACGTTTGTAAGACAACACTTTCTTTTGATTGGACGTACGTAAGTACCTAGCCGGTGTGGTCACCAACCAAACAATATTGCCAAAAGCTGCCTGACCAGGCACGAAAGCAGCTGTCCACCAGGCCCAAGTCAGGCACTAGAATTTGCCAGGAATCCTTCCCAGGGAGGAAACCAAACAGGCCCCTATTCCCGGACTACTACCCTTGAGTTTACCTGCAAAAAAAAAAATACTACCCTTGAGTTTATTGATGTGTCCATAGAAGAACAAGATGGGCGCATGTGGAGGATGACGGGAATATATGGCGATCCTAGATGGGATCATAAGGAAAGGGAAACGTTTACTGCCGGCAGACCGGCTAACTCTTTGCGCCAGTCGAACGCGCGCTTGCCACGCCGTGCCCATGTGTGTGGAGCCACGTCCTCGTACGTGGGGCCCTTGCACTGACGCGTCGGTCTTATCCAGCCAGGCACGATCTCCTTTTCTCCCCCAATTCCTCAACACACACCATCCCATTTGTTTCTCTGCTCACCAACGCCATGGCTGTTCCTTTCTTCCTCCGATCACCAACGCGGCTGCCCCTCTCCTCCTCCTCCCTTGCGGCCGGCAGTAGCATGCCCGTCGTTCACTGCCGCAATTTTTCCTGCTTGGGATCCCTGTGTCCTGGCGCTGCCGCCGACAATATGTTGGAACCGGCGGTGGCGGATGCGACAACTGCTGGTCGCCGATGCTGCAACGACTTTGACCGGCGACACGGCGGTGGCACCATCGGTGTTGAAGAAGATGCGCGGACACCGCGGTGCTACATTAGGCACCAGCAGATCCTGGAACGACGGCCCCAATTTGTTGGAACTGGCCATGTAGGGTGCTGGGACGGGCGGTGGCGGTTTGCTACAGGCGACCATGGCTGATGCTGGAACCGGCATTTGTGGATGCTACAACCATTGGTCGTCGAAGCTACAACCGGCGCCGCACGATGCTACGTCTCTGACGCCGCGGTGCTACATCCATGCCGGTGATTTTGTTGGAACCATCAGACATTTTTCTTTTTGCTTCAACCAACCATTGTTTTTGCTGGAACCATTGGCCATTTTTGCTGGAACATGCGATTTCCATGGATGCGAGTATGGAAACATTTTTTCTTCGTTGGGATCAACAAGAAATTGTTGATACAACCGGCAAGCAGTTTTGCTTCAACCAACATCTTTTTTTGCTGAAGCCCATGAGATGTTAGCATTTTTTTCTTTTTTGCTGGTATCGGTGAGTCAATTTTTGATGCAGCCTATGAGAAATTTTGCTTCAAACAACATCTTGTTTTGCTAGAACCAGCAATTCCTAAGCTGTGAAAACGGAAGGTTTTTTAGAGTCGTGATGGGTCACCGCTGCAGCTGCAACGGCCACGGCCGCTAGACATGCTGCAAGGTCACCGGGGGTGCTGGAACGGCGGTCCCGGGGAAGGGGGTGGGGGTGGGGAGGAGGTTTGATGCAACCCGGTAGCAAGGACGGCAAGCCGACGAGTAGTGGTGACCCGGCCAGCGATGGCGACCATGGCGACCGCGAGCTGGAGGCGCGGCGCTGCCACCGGCGAGGGGCGGCGTTGTGGCGGGGACCGGTCTGTAGTTTTGGTCAACGACCGTGAGATTCTTTTTTTTTTGAGGGAAACGGCCGTGAGATTCAGGAGGTATGGGAAGGGCGCAAGATGAGTTGGACGAATCGGTTTTTCAGGTGAAATCTGACGGCCGCACAGCTCGTGTCGTAGGGCTAGGATGCGACCGACCCAAAGTTTGGGCCGGCGCACCGGCGCCTATCACCCTTCATAAGGAAATGACCTATCAAAACCTGAGAGATTTGCATGCACAATCGAGCTTGCCGCCGATGGTGATAGGAGATTTCAATGAGATTCTATACTCGCCGGAGAAGGATGGGGGTGCTCCCTGCCAACACTCCAGGCCGCAGGCGTTCCAATATGCCCTGTCGGATTGCATGTTGGAAGACATAGGGTACAATGGAGATAGTTTACATGGTTTCGTGGTGGGCTGCGAGAGAGGCTTGATCGAGCTGTCACGAATGCAGCATGGTTGCTACTTCATCGCATGCTGGTTTGAGCAATCTTGATGTGGGTAAATCAGATCACCAACCAGTCTTGTTGGACACCGAGTACTTGGCTAGAGTGGCAGAGAACCAACCAAAAAAAGAAAGGAAATTTGAAGTGAGGTGGTTAGCAGAGGAAACGGTGAATGAGATTATCACCACGACTTGGCAGAAAGCACCACACCGCGGTCTCTGTCCTACAACCATGGACAAGATTAATGCCATTCAAAAAGATCTCCACGCTTGGGACCGTAGTGTGTTGAAGCAGTCGCATGCCAGGATGAAGAAGGCGAGATTGAAACTCGAGCGCTTGATGAGAGAACCGACTCAGCTGAGATAAAGATGAAACAGAAGGAACTTTCAGTCCTAGTTGAAAACTTATTAGAACAAGATGAAATATATTGGGCCCAGAGAGGCCGGGTGAATTGGCCAAAGAAGGGAGATCGCAACTCTTCCTACTTTCTGTAACGCCCCGGATTTGAGGCGCCAGGTGTCTGTCAGTTATTCGCCGTCGTTGCCATTTCATTTGCTTGCGTGTTGCATTTTATCATGTCATCATGTGCATTTCATTTTG